AGCCTGCCCTCAGGTATCCCCCTGCACCTCACACCCGCTTCAGCCTGCCCTCAGGTACCCCAAGTCCCCCACCAGTCCTCCTGTGCTCCACATCCCCTTGCACCCCACAACTGCTTCAGCCTGCCCTCAGGTACTGCCTCGAGCCCCCCCACCAACCCACCTTCCCCCTCGTGCCCCACATCCCCATCAGCCTGCCCTCAGGTACCCCGCATCCCCCTGGGATTAGCTCCACGGGTTGGCACCCTGTCACCCAGTGGTGCCTCACCCACGCTCACATCTGCTCCTGAACCCACATCCTCTGTCAGAACCCCCCAGCCCTGCCGTGAGCCACACACCCCTTTCCAGGGGCAGGTGCTGCACCCCAGTTATCCCGCCACATCCCCAGCGGTGACTGCAGCCAAATATCCAGCCTCTTCCCCATGGCCCCAGCACCCTCTTCGCCCTTTCTCAGCCTGCAAATCCCAGCTCCCCCGGTCCCTGCTAGCAGCTCGGCGCCATGCAGGATACTGGCGGCAGCAACTGCGGCTGCTTCCCCCTGCCAGTCCCCCCTCCTGCAGCTCCAGCAAGTAACTGACCCTGCTCAGCCCTGCAGCTCTTTTTATATGGGCCTGCCGGACCCTGATTGGCTGTTTCTCTCAGCCCCTCTCTAATTGGCTACCTCCTGCACAACCTCCCTAGGGCTCTATTAACCCCTTAGAGGCCAGGGTGGGGCCAGCGCCCCATCACAGTGCATGTCTCTTCCTGGGGGGTGGGGGGTAGTTCTCTCGTTCGGTTCTGAACCAGGAGATTGGGGTGGGGGGGACCAGCTCCCTTTTGGTGAGAGACACAAGCTGGCGAGCTTGGCAGAGCTCTGCTCCTGACGTCTCCTGCCCCCTCATCCGGGGAGCCGCCAGCTACACCCCTGGGACTGACAGTCACCATCCTCTCTCTTTGGGGTCTCCCCTGGATCCCAGGGGGTGCTCGGCAGGGGGCGGGGGGGCTGCTCCCACCACAGCCGCCCCAAGAGCAGAAGCTCTTGTGTTCTGCCACAGTGCCTCTGTCCTGGGCCCCAAACCGGCGACGGGTGGAACAATCCAGCCTCCTCCGTGTGTCCACCGGTTAGACCCAATTCCCGACACACAGTTTGGTCCCAGCACAGGCTCCGTCGCTCCCGCTTCGTTCCGGCCGTTACACAGAACGGAGCAGAGGGAGCGTTCGCCAGCCTTGACCCCTCTCCTCCAGCGGCGCTTCGGTTGGGTACATTCGTAGGCCTGGCTATCTCGGCAACTCCCTGTACCGCCACCGTCCCCCCTGTATGCCCCATATCCCCCATATGCCTCATAACTCCCCCGTATGCTCCATAACTCCCCCTTATGTCCCATAACCCCCCAGTATGCCCCATATCCCTCCCATATGCCTCATAACTCCCCCATATGCCCCATACCTCCCCTGTATGTCCCATAACTCCCCCGTATGCCCCATAACCCCCCATATGCCTCATAACTCCCCCGTATGCCCCATAACTCCCCATATGCCTCATAACTCCCCCGTATGCCCCATAACTCCCCTGTATGCCCCATATCCCCCAGTACACCCCATAACTGCGCCATATGCCCCATAACCCCCCATATACCTCATAACTCCCCCGTACACCCCATAACTCCCCTGTATGCCCCATATCCCCCCATACGCCCCATAACTCCCCCATACACCCCATAACTCCCCCGTATGCCCCCACTGCGGCATAGCAACTGCGTCAGGCTGCCAGGAGGTCAGGGCGCCCGCGGCTGCCTTGGGGGGGCTCCGGGGGGCTGGGCTCCGGGGCTGATCCGGCCTCTCTCCCCCCAGGCTTCCAACACACGATCACGGTGCAGGCGTCGCCCACCCTGGACAAGCGGAAAGGCCCAGGATCCAACGGCACCAGCCCCCCCGCGAGCCCCGTCGTCATCCCCCGCCTGCGGGCCATTCGCCGTGAGTACCCCTAGCCCCCCATCAGCCCCCCCTCACCCCCACAGCCACCCACCATGGGTACCCCGTAGCCCCCCTAGCCCCCCATCGCTCCCCATCACCCCCACAGCCACCCACCATGGGTACCCCGTAGCCCCCCTAGCCCCCCATCACTCCCCATCACCCCCACAGCCCCCCAGGTCACCCGTGTGAATTTGCCCCCCAGCTCGGCCATGATTCCTCCCTCCCCTGGGGGTCTCTGCTGCCCCGGGCTCAGGCCAGGCCGCTGTGGGGCTGCCCCGGGCTCAGGCCGGGCCGCTGTGGGGCTGCCCAGGGCTGTGGGGCTGCCCCGGGCTCAGGCCAGGCCGCTGTGGGGCTGCCCCGGAGGCAGGCTGGGGGGCCTGGGCCCTGCTGGGCTGGGGATGGTTGTGGCTCCTGTGCCGGACCCAGGAACCGGGACCAGGACCAAGAACTGGCACATTATGAGCCAATGTCCCCCCGACCCCCCACCCGCTGGGGAAATGAGCCCCCCGTCCATCTCCCCCCCGTCCATCTCCCCCCGTCCATCGCTCCTGCCGGGAGGGGCACTGAGCCCAGAATTGTCGTCCCCCACCCCGCGCCCCACTGGCCTACAGTGCGGGAGGCTGGGCCAGGACGCAGGGGGTCCCGCTCACCCCCCTCGTTGCAGTGACGCCCGTGGATGGCAGCCAGACGTGGGGCCGCAGCGCGGGGCTGAAGAAGGAGGAGCTGGCGGGGAACAAGAAGAAGGGGCGCACGTGGGGGCCCAGCTCCACGCTGCAGAAGGAGCGTCTCGGCGGGGAGGAGCGGTACGGGGCCGGGGCACCAGGCTGGGGGACCCCCTGGGGCTCCCGAGACCAGGGAGGTGGGGCAGGGCTTGGGGGTGGGTTCTGGGCCCAATTCGTTTAACTGCATGTCCACATGCCCAGGGCTGGGCTAGCACGGGGCTGCGGGTCGGGAGTGAGGGGCACCGGCAGAGCTGGGGGGAGCCCAGGGCTGGGCTGGCAGGGGCTGCGGGTCGGGAGTGAGGGGCACCGGCAGAGCTGGGGGGGGAGCAGCGGGCTGCGGGTCAGGAATGAAGGGCACCAGCAGGGCTGGGGGGAGGTCAGGGTGGGGGCTGCGGGTCGGGAGTGAGAGGCACCGGCGGGGGGCTCCGGAGCTGTCTCACCGTCTCTCCGGCGCAGGCTGAAGGCGCTGGGCGAGGGCAGCAAGCAGTGGTCGTCCAGCGCCCCCAACCTGGGCAAGTCCCCGAAACGCGCCCCCATGACTGGGGGCTTCGCCAGCCTGACGGAGATGGGTACGTGCTGCCCGCGCCTATTGGGGGGGCCAGGTCTCGAGGCGGGGGGGGCATGTCCTGGGGGGGGCGGCGGGGCGGCTTGGTACCTCCAGCAGTGGGGCGAGGGTCTGTGTTAGCCACCCCCCAGACCAGCACCCTGGAGCCCGGCTGGCTTAGAGGCCTCAGGGCAAGGAGCCCAATGCCCCGCATGGGATCCCAGGGGCCCCGAAGCAGGGATCTGGGGGGGGGCCAAGGCCCGGCGGGAGGGGCCCCGAAGCAGGGAGCTGGGGGGGGGCCAAGGCCAGGCGGGAGGGGCCCCAAAGCAGGGAGCTGGGGGGCGCCAAGGCCCGGCGGGAGGGGCCCCGAAGCAGGGAGATGGGGGGCCAAGGCCCGGCGGGAGGGGCCCATGGGAAGGGCTGGGGGTCGCTGAGCCCCCCCTGGCGCTGACCCCTGTCCGTCTGTCTGTCTCTTCCCAGAGGAGTACGTGGAGGTGGAGGGCAGCACCCCCCAGTCCCCGGCTGAGCTGCCCCCCGGCAGGGCCGGCCCCACAAGCGCAGCGCCTTGGCTCTCCTGGGCTGTGCCTCCGTCCTGGCCTCGGTGGCACTGGGCAGCGACCTGCTGGAGCTGGGCCGGGAGCAGCGGGGGGGTCGTGCCCACGGGGGGGCCGCGCCCAGGGGCCCCAGGGGCCCCCCCAGCTCCGTCACGCTGCTCTCGCTCTCCTCCCTCTCCGACTGCAACTCCACCAAGTCCCTGCTGCCCTCGGACGAGGAGCCGCCCGCCCCGGCCCCCGGACCCGCGGCCTCCCCCCTCGGCGCCCCCCCCGCCCACAACCCCCTGCTGGACCTCCGGGCCGAGAGCTTCAAGAGGGACCCGCGCCAGTCGCTGACGCCCACCCATGTGACGGCCGCCCAGGCACTGCCCCGCGGGCACCGGCGAACGCCCTCGGACGGGGCCCTGCGCCCGCCCAGCCAGCAGGGGGCGCCCGGGGCAGGTGAGTGGGGGGACCGGGCCGCCCCCCCCAGCACAGGGTAACACCGGTGTCGCCCTCTCCCGCACCCCCCCAGCCCTTCCCTGCACCAACCCGACCCTCCTCCTCCCCCACAGCCCCCCACGGCCCACCTGACCCCCCTCATCACCCCACAGCCCCTCTCTGCTCCCGCCTGATCCCCCTCCTCACCCGCGGCCCCCCCAGGCCAGGCCAACCCCCTCCTCCCCCCAGCCCCTCCCTGATCCCCACCCCAACCCAACTCCCTCCTCCCCTCAGCCCCTCCCTGCCCCCATCCAACCCCCTCCTCCCCTCTCCCCAACCCCCTCCTCACCCCCCAGCCCCTCCCTGACCCCATCCAACCCCTTCCTCATCCCCCCAGCCCTTTCCTGACCCCCATCCCCCTCTCTGACCTGCCCATCCCTGCATCTATCACACCCACTCCCCCACCACAGCCCACCAGCCTGTCGGAGTCCCCATCTCCCACCTCCCAGGTCCTGGGGCTGTTCTGGGGTCCCTGGGCCCTCATTTCTCATGCCCCCCCAACCCCCTAGGCCCCACTGCCCCTGCCAGAGCCAGGGGTCGAACCCAGGAGTCCGGGCTCCCCGCTCCCCATAGAGGGCCTGGGGGGATCTCTGGGGAGGGGGGTGGAAGCTGTGTGAGAAGTTGGGGCTGTGAGGTGGAGGGAGGGGGGCCCATGGTTCAGGGGATCTTTGTGGCGGGGACTGGGTGGGAGGCTAATGGGCTGCAGTTGCCCAGGCCATCTAAGATGGTTTGTTCCCCCTCCCCACAGGCTCCCAGGAGACCCTGGACCCCCCCACGCTCTTCCCGCCCCCGTCGCGGCGCAGGCCCCCCGAGAAGGAACCGGCCGTGGAGCGCCCCAAGACCCTGGAGTTCGCGCCCCGGCCCCGCCCCTCTCCCGCCCGCTCCCGCATCGACCCCTGGAAACTCGTCTCCTTCGGACGGACTCACCGCTCGTCCCCGGGCAGCGGGTGCGAGACGCAGGGGGAGCTGGGCGGAGGCGGGGGGGAGCGGCCGGACCCCCCCAGCGCCCGCCAGACGCTGCTGGACATAGACATGGAGGGGCAGAGCAAGGACAGCACGGTGCCGCTCTGCGGGGGGGCACCGCACGCCGACAGCCTGGATGTCGACATGTCCCACTGACCCCCCAGAGCCCAGGGCACCTCCCATGAATGTACACCCCCCACAGCCGGCGAGGGGCACCAGGCCTACCTGTGGGGGGGCCCTCGTGGATGGACCAGCCTCTTTACTCTGCGCCTGCACCACCATCCCCCACCCTCAGCGGGCTGAGATCCCACCGCACCCACCAACCGCTCCACAGGCTCTGCTGTGGGAGAAGCTGCTGCCCCCGAGGAGCGGGGTTGGGAAGGGAATGGTGGGGGGAGGGGAGCATGTGTATTTATTGATGGGGGGGGTTAAGGACCCCCCCACCCCTATTTAAATTCCATGTGGTGTTTGTAAAAAAAAAAGAAAAGAAAGAAAGGTTAAAAAAAATGAATCGTTCTGAGCCAGCAGGGGGCGCTTGTCCCCCGTGACGCATTCATTAACGCGGCATTTCCAGGGCCCGTTGTTCCTGCAGCTGAGACCCCAAATGCTTCCAGGGACGCCCCCTTCACCGGGCACTGAGCTGCAGCCACCTCTGGGGTGGGACTTGAGAGCTGTTTATCCAGGGACACCCCCCCCCCCACCAGGCACTGAGCTGCAGCCACCTCTGGGGTAGGGCATGGGGCCTGTTCAGACAGGGACCCGGCTGGCCCATTCTCCCCTTCTGTACCTGCTGGCCCCCAGCGGTGGGAAGGGAACCCAGGAGTCCGGTGACAGGGCCTGAGGGGGGTTATGGCCCCCTCAGCTTTGCGGCTGGTGTTCAGAGGCTGCTTTGCGCACAGGGCAGGGCAGCCTGATCTGGGGCAAGGACAGGGTGAGGGGACCGCCTTTGACGTTCCCCCAGAGGGGCCGGGCTGGGACACAGGACACCTGGGTTCAGTGCCCAGCGCTGCCCTGTACATCCTGTGCCACCCCCTGCACCCAGGGGCCGCGCCACGGCCCTGATCCTGCACAGAGTGGGGCAGGGCCGCCCAGAGGATTCAGGGGGTCTGGGGCAAAGCAATTTCGGGGGCCCCTTCCATAAAAAAAAAGTTGCAATATTATAGAATACTATATTCTCGTGGGGGCCCCTGCGGGGCAAATTGCCCCTCGCTCTGGGCGGCCCTGGAGCGGGGCCTGACTAAACCCTGACGCCACCGGCACTGGGCCCAGGCCAGGGCAGCCGTGCCCCCAAAGCCCCAGTGCCACCTGGCCCCGTGGGATCGGCCAGGAGAGCAGCCCCCCCTCGGGCGCTTGCTGCTGCGTCCTGGTTCCGGAGGGATCACCCCCAAGTCCTCCCCGCCCCCGACCCCAACAATTACCAGCCTCTGCGCCTGCTGCAGTATGCCCATGGCCGCGAGGGGGGGCAGGGCCCCCACAATCCCACCTGCCGGTGAGTCCTGGCTCCCACTCCCCTCCCAGAGAACCCAGGCCTCCGGGCTCCCAGCCCCCCCTGCTCTAACCACTAGAGACCACTCCCCTCCCAGAGAACCCAGGCGTCCGGGCTCCCAGCCCCCCCTGCTCTAACCACTAGAGACCACTCCCCTCCCACAGCCAGGGAGAGAACCCAGGCGTCTGGGCTCCCAGCCCTCCCCCCCCCGCCCCCCGAGCTGGGGAGAGAACCCAGGAGTCCTGGCTCCCTCTCCCCTCAGCTTGTAAGGGGGGGGGGGCGTTTTAGAGTCCATCTCAGCTGTGTTGCCATGGTTACCATAGTGTGACAACAGCATCGCAGCTGATTGGCTGGACACAGAATAGCTCCCGCCTCCCCTGTGTCTCCCCCCCTCCCCAGTCCTCGCCCCAGGCTGGGCCCTGCTGGGAAATGCAGCATCGCCCCCTCCCGACCCCTCCCTTCTGGGGGGCTGCCATGGGGTACGGGGGTGGGGCGGGGAGCCAGGACTCCTGGGTTCAACGCCTGGCTCTGCCCGGCTGCCCCACACGCTGGGGGCGGCTGCCCCTGATCTGGCCTGTCTGGCAGTGCCCAGCCCCATGGGGCCCTTTTCGTTTCCCTAGGGTACGATTGGGAGCTGAGCTGCCCAGCCCTGGGACAGGGTTGCCCCCCAGCTGCCCCCCGGCTTGGCTGGACCCCCCAGGGCTGCCCACCCCACACGCGGAGCCAGGCGCAGGGCAGGGCAAAGGAATCGAGGGCCTGAGGTGTGACCCACACGCCCGCCCCCCACCCCGGCGCAGCAGGCTCTCGGCAGACTCAGGCAAACCCCAGGCCAGCGACCTGGGGCCAAGGCCCACGACGGTGAGATGCTGCCAGGCTGGTGGGCAGGGGCATCTTCACGGGGCCCCCCAGCAACACCAGCCCGGCTGCCCCCACCCCGCCCCTTCGGCTGCAGGAGCCCACCCCCCCAGAACAGAAATAAAGGGACAAGAGAAAATCAACATAGTTTTTATAGCATCGACCTGGGGGGTCAGAGGGGGAGATAAATAAACCTTCAACAAGAAATCACAGTATCCCGCAAGGTGCCAGGGAGTCCACACACACCCCCACTGCCTCCCCCCACATCGGTGCCCCCCCCCGCAGGGCCCATGTCGCTCCCAGCAGGGGCCCAGCTGCTCTACACTGGTCCTTGGTCACAGTTGGGGGGGGGGGGCTGCTGGGAAGGGGGGGCTCTTCTGTAGTCCCCCCCCCAGGCCCTGGGATCCCACCCAGCCCGTGTTGGGGGCAGGGGGCAGCCCTGACATGGAGCTGGTTCCCGAGCTGGGGGGGCGGAGGGGGGCAGGGAGAGAAACGAGTCCAGAGCCCCGGGGTGTGCTGTGAAATTGGGGGGTTGCCCAAAGCCCCATGGAGGGGGCAGCAGCCAGCAGTGTGTGTGGGGGGCCACAGCCGCTCTGCCCCCCCCCCCCCAGGAAACCACAGGGGACAATTTGCTTGATGCTATGGGGACAATTTATCCCCACACCAGAGTTGGGGGGGGCAGCTTCTCTCCCCCCAGCGCTGGCTAGAGCAGCCCGCAGGCTACTGCCGTGGGTCTGGGGGGGGGTCACTCCAGCAGCTGGGGCAGGAACCCCCCCCCCCGCATCACTGTGGGGGCTAG